GGTGGGCATTCGGATAGGAAATTTGCATACTTCCCTAGACACCATAAAGCTTCGCACGTGAGACAACAGCCCGACATAAATTCAGAGCGGCCTGTAGGGCGGGAAACGAGATTATTTCCACCCTTCTTGAGCTCACGTGACTTGTGTTCCATTGTGTACGGTATAGCTTTTGCCTCTGTGATTTTGAGTCACAGCTTTGAAAGAGATCCGATTTACCTCGCGTCAGTTATTTCTATTATCCATCAAAGTCTTTCGGTTTGTTCCACCAGTTATTAAAGAATAATTTGGGGCTGTGCGCGCTTTATCACTCATCGCCCTATTTAGAGTAGACATAGGTATTTTCATACATAGAGAAGTGAAAGTGAAAATTATAGAGAGTATAACTTACGGGTATTTAAAACAAATAATTACCATGTTTTTCCCACACTTCGGATTTGTTAAACTTGTACATTTGTATCATATTCCTTTTTCCTTATGATACTATATATAATAACAATAATTATTGTGGAAAAAAGTGGATCTTTTGGGAAAATTTCTTGGTTTTATCCGAAACATCTACAAAGAAACTAGTTGAAGAAAGGAGTTAACATTGTTATGACTTGTATATTTTTAGGTATAGATCAGAAGATCCTCAACATTTAAGTGAATATCTTTTTTGAAAACTGTGTATGAATAAAATATAAAGAGGATGGGATGGCCGAGCATGTTGGGGCGTGGTTCCCGGAGACATACCGGTGACCGGTTCTGAACGTTGTGGGTTCAGTTCCCACTTAGGCCTGTTAATTTTTATTTATCAGCTGCACCAAGAAATAAATCTTGGCATTCCCACTCTGGTAAGTATGCGGCGGCAACCTCAAGGTAGCCGTCAGTGGTTGGCAAAAAATACTACGAAAGGGCTCACTTGTCGGAATAGTTCCCCTCCCCATCTATACCAGTACCAATACCAGTAAGTAAAATATAAAGTTAAAATACAATATGTAACTTCATTATCGTACGATTTTTCGACCTAGCCTCTACACACACACAAACACGCAGGCACACGATGACAGAACTTTTGCTTATTATATTTATCATATATATCATAAAAGAAAAAGTAAAAAGTAGGGAAAAGTCTAACAACAACATAACAGTCTTCAAAGTGTTATGGTCTTAAATGAAATAATAATGGGATTGAGTTGTACAAATAGTATAAGTTGATATAAATCAATCCAATGCAATGCTTCCACTATTTTATGAGATCTATCCTTTATTTAGGAAATGCACAGAATTATTGAAAATAGATCGGAAGGAAAGGGTACAAATAAATTTATGAGGAGTTTATTTATTCAGCTACTTTTTTCCTAAGCTTTGTACAATGTTTTTCAACTGTTTATTTTACGTTTTATACAATTTAAAAGCAAATAACACATCTTTTATTTTACATTTTTGGAGGATTTTACATATTCGGAGAATATATTTACATATTATCACTCATGTTTTATCAACAAAAAAAATTCACATTTATAAAAGTAGAGCAATTATATTTGATAATTTCATCAATTACGTGAATTTGCTGAACGATTAAAATCTGAAGGTTTGTTATAGATTAAAAACTCATAGCAGATTGCATTCGTTATTATAACTAACTTTTTTGTCGAAAATCGATTTACACCAGTTTCAAACAATACAGTGAATATGATAGGAATGGCTATTTCAGGTTACACCAATAGCAGTCGTCTGTTTAGAAGTTTAATGAGAAATATCTTTGAACAATAAGAAACTATAATAAGACAGAAGAAGGTATATATTTGTATGTACAAAGCAGAAGGAAATTTACATAGGAGTGATAGCAGAGCTCTAGAGCTACAAAAAAATGATTGTAATTATAAGCAGAAAAGAAGAAAATCCAAGTTTTGTGTTTTTTAAAATAAGTCATATTTATTGTTGAATAGGAGGCGATAACTAAAGAAATATTTATTTTAAATAATTAAAAATTGCTTCACTGTAAACTAGAGAAAATTTTCTTCAATCGAAAATAGAGCTTGTCATTGTTAAAACTATTTAAAGAGGACTTTTGATTAGCTAAGCTAAGCTAAGTTTAAAAAAAAAAACACAAATTATTCACGATTAATTTAATCATCTTCCAACTATACTACAGAAACTCCAATTTTATGAAAACTTCCTCCTTTAATAAACTTTAAATATATTTTAATTAAGTTGAGACTTATTAGGGAAAAACTTGAGATTCACCTCAAATTCTGTTAAAAAATTATTTGATGTTTTTATCCTTTCACCAAAAATTATATAAACTGTCATATTATAATAATTAACAGTTGCAAAGCTTTTATTTCTTGTTTCGCTATGACATTATAAGAAAACTTAATTGCCTAAATATAATTTTTATTAGCAAAAAGCATTATAAATAATAATTTTTCATGTAAAATGGTTATGAAAACTGACTTTTTCACCTTTTGTAGAAGTTGATCCGTATCTATAAGTGACAAACTAAATGTTCCTGATTATAATAGTTACTTCTTCATGAAATTAATTGTAGATGTCAACAGGTTTCTTTGTTTTAAACGTCTATTTTAGGACTGCAAAAATTTAGTTTGCCACTTAATAAAAACTGATCAATTCCGATAATAGAGATATAGGTGAAAAACACAATTACATAAATCTTTTTCATTCACCGATTTTAAGCAGAATCGTAGGAAATTTAAGTTATATGTTATTTTAAGTAAGTCAGGTATTTTGTTGAATAGGAAACTGTAAATGTAAAAATATTTAATTTAAGTAATTAAAAATTGCATCACAGTAAACTAGACAAAGTTTACAATAGATGAAAGTAGAGTTTGTTATTGGTAAAAGCATTTAATGAGCACTTCTGACCGGTTAAACAATGCTAAGCTTTATTTTTAAAAATAAATAATTAATTATTTCCGACTTTTTTCTACCACTCTCTAAGAATACAATCAATAATCCGTATTTTTCGCAAAAATTACTACAATAAATTATTGAAAACCTTTAATTAATTTTTTCCGTTACCTGAGATGGAGTAGAAGAACGATAATTTTTTTTAAAAATCATGATTTTCTAAATATTTATTATTCAAAGTGGTCATGAAACTGCAGTTTTTATTATGATCTGTATCATAATGTTCCTAAATCTCATGATTACGTTTTCATGAAAATAATTGATGCTATAAGCAAATTTTTTATTTTAAACAGAAATATTCGGATTGAAAAATGGCCAATTATAAATTTGTGACCAACTATTGTGTATATAGCTTTTTTGTATCTCTAGAGATTAAAAATATTACTCCTATAAATATTTTTATATTTTTTTATGGTATACTCGTTGATATTCACATAACTGCCTTATAGTTTAAAAACCAAAAATTGTTTATATTGTTAATCATTTTTATTTATTTTCTAAAATTTTTTTTTTGTCCTCCGCTTCCTCGCCTTTAAGGCTATACGGGAGTTTCCCGGGCAAGAGGCTGTGGGCGGGGATTTAAAAGACTACCCCGGCACTGGGACGCGCGAACTCGCGACTATTTAAATCCATTGTCTCATAGATCAGGTTGCCGGGCAACGACGGTGCTGTGGCTACCCCGGCCACTTATAGTCTTATCTCTCACTATTATTATTGTCCGTGTGACGGATTATTATATTTCTGAATAATTAAATAAAATAAAAAAACATGTTGTCTTGTTCAGCTTGTTTCCCCATGGGTGGCAGTAAATATTGTACGGAAATGTGCTTGAAATCAAAATTTTATTTTTGCCAAAATTCTGATTTAGCTTGTTTATTTAACTATAGTTAATATAGTTACAGATATTCGTTTTAAACTGGTCATAGAAGAATATTTAACTACTGTGTCAAAAATTAAGAGTAATGGTTTAATAAACATAAATAAATAAATTTAAAATATATATATATATATATATATATATATATATATATATATATATATATATATATATAAAGAGAGAATTTATGCTATATAATGGTTAATTATTAGATATATTATCAAAGATTTACGAGATACGATGCTGTTCAATTCAGCCATTGAGAAGGTGATAAATAAGTAGATAAGACCTCACATCCATCATTGATGAAGCTCATATCAGAATGGACCACGCGATTCTGAGATATCCAGTGATATGTGTATGTTCGAAAACAATCAAGTTAACATTGAAAGAATTGCTAAGACTTGTGAGAGATGCGGAGAAAATCGGTCTAAAAGTCAATGAAGATATATCAGTACATTGAGTCCAGAGGAATCACAAATTAACAATTGCAAGATAGGCAGTGATGAAGAGGTCATGAGAGTTGAGCTTGTTTGAGCGTTGCTCGATTTAATATTCTCGAGTCAAGTGATTTTTAGGACCCATGGGGTGAATCTCTACCTTCCTACTATGGATAGAATAGTACCTTCCTACTACTATTGATTGTATTTCAACAAAAAAAATTGTATTGTACCTTGTACCTTTTGAAAAAGATTCTACCTATTCTTAAAAAAAATAAAAGACAGAGATAAATAACGTGGCCAAAAATCTAATTCTGTATAGTCTACTGAATAAAATATGATGATGTTCGTCATGATATCCAAATTATTATTATAGTATTTAAAAACTACTCTATTTATTTTTTAGCATTAAGATTTTGAGAGAAAATCCTATTTTGCTAGTAATAGTTTATTGTTGTTGGTATTAACAAGGATTTTTTCTTAGGATAAAAATTAATATACGCTTGATATATTACAAATTTAAAATTGACGCGTCTCTTCCTATTTACATAGAGATTTTGTACGTTAAAACCCGATGATCCTAGTAATGATTGACTTCCATGTTCCATCTTCATCCCCCATAATCCTGAAGATGTCACAAATGGAAGGATAATCACAATATCATTTATTTAGCGATCCATCAGAATGGTTAGAATATTCGATATGACGATCCCTTGAAGAAGGTGTGTTTTGTGAATTACTTATGGGGAGGCTCTTATTTAATTCCTTACCTTAGCCCTCGCTTCTCTGGCTGCCTCAGCTTCTGCGGCCATCGCTCTCTGTAATTGCACCGGGAGCCTCACATCCTTTCTGAAATCAGAGAAGTATTTATAAGTACGCCATAATTGATTGGAAAATAGAGATATATATGGATATATAATTATTATCATTTTATTAATATAACTTTGAAATGAAATAAAATTTAAATCTGTTTAGTATAGGAAAGAACTAAATTGCAGGAATGACACAGTGGCCTGATCATACTCATCATATGTGCAACTTTTTAGGCAAAAATCTTTTCAAAATAGAAACTTAATGCAACGTTTTTATAATGAAGTTCTTGGTTTATGGTAAAATTTTAACTTTTGTTTATTTAATATCTTTAAAAAAGTTACGTTAAATGAAAAATATACAAATATACATAAAAGCCATATACATAACAAAACATAATAATAAAACAGTAAATTATAAAACGGATACGAAACACATAGGCACACATTTCTCAGACATAATATCCAATATTAAAATTCAGAAATAACAATAGATAATACAATCACAACAATGAGCCATAATGAGGAATAAATGGACAGGAGCAAATTACAATAATGGAACTTGAAATAACCAAGTGTTGGTTGCTATAACCAGCTTATATATAGAAAATGAATGTGTAGCACAAAAAAAAAGCATTATAGAATAATATATATATGACAGTTATTGTAATTTTGGACAATTGGTGCCACATTACAAAGTCAAGATAAATAATTAAACAATAAAAAGAGTAAATTAGCAATGTAATAATAGTTCACTTTAAACATGTACATTTTCAGTAAATATAAAGGATCTCTGAAGATGTGAAAATTATCCCGAAACGTCGGATGTGATTAAAAAAGATGAAAGAAAAAATGGAAGTTTAATTGCGATAACCTTAAAAATATAAACCGAAGCTTCCTAGAGAAAAAAAAACAAGAAGAAAATTTATAGTGATTTTATTTAGAATACAGTTGTAATTTATCTTAAATCAATTACTTTTTTCTGAAGTGTCCCTTCTTTGAGTAGCTGTTCTGTAAAACCTGTAATAAAGTTGTAAGGGGACAAGTTTAAGTTCCGAAATATAGCGAAACTGATTAAAAATAGATTTATTTTTATTATTTCCTGTGATATAAACAACTGTATTAAAAAATACATCAAGTAAATTTGTACAATGGATATAATGACATGAAACACTTGTTGAAAAATTACCCACTAGTACCACTCTAAGGAAATAATTTTAGACCACATTTCAAGTTCTGATTCAAAATACATACGTACTCGAAATATTTTGGAGGTCATTGTTCCAATTTATTTACCGATATGTGCTCTTTAATATTGTCATTTACTTCAATGAACCCGAGGTCAATTGCTGCAATAGTCCATGGTACAGAACCCTTTTGAGCATCAATTACAAAAGTAATTGAAATAATTTATTACACTTATAATTCTGGTTTCAAGTTCACTTATTTTTATTTATTTTTTTTCCTACCCCCAGGAATTTCTTGATTACAAATACAATATATATATATATATATATATATATATATATATATATATATATAATATATATATATATATATATATATATATATATATATATATATATATATATGTACAAATTCACTTAAGATTCTATTGCAAACCAAATAACTGTAGAGAAAGTTATAAAATGTGAGATGAGGCAATGAATTATTAAGTGCATCCTGGAAGAAGCGGATGTTGTAAAACTGTCTTAGAAGAGAGATTCAACGACGTGATATTTGAGATACGTGATTTTTCCTGTAAAGGCTTTAACGGAGAAGGAGTATTGAATTGTTCAAAAATAACCTTGGAAAAGAAGACCAGATCAAATACCAGTAGCTTTGGAAATATTTGAGGCTATGGGAGGCAGAGATTATTGGTACATCCAGACATAATTCTTTCAAAATATTTTCGGATGTAGTATTGTAATAATATAATTTGATATTTAAGAAATATAAATGTATTACCTAAAGTACAATTTTCTTTTCATTACTAAACATTGAATTAAAAAAAAAAATTGGTTTACAAAAATAATGTGATTTATTAAGAAGGTTACAACATAATTTTAAAATTTTACCGGATGATTGTCCAAATAGTTTCCTAAATAAAATTTAACGGAAAAAAATAAGTCTTTGTAATCTTTTCGATAGTGTACATAAATTGACATTGAATCAACAAACTAAGCCGAAATTTAAATCATTTATTTCAGGTTGAAATAAGAATTTCGGAAACATGAAGAAAGAAGAGCCCTATATAATCTTCTTTATACCAAAATATAAATTCATTCATTTAATTATATTAATTTTTATTCAAGTTGGTTCCAACAAATTGTATCATTAACGGTGAGATGAAAAATAATATGCAATTTAAGTTTCAACTGTTTGTCATGTCAATTGAAACTGGGGAGTAACAATTTTTTTCAGTCTTGCGGACTATTCTGATTACCTAGTAGCCATATTTTTAAGGAAGAAATTCGCTTACCATAGACGAGTAAATTTATTTCCACAATGTACATATTTTCTTCCATTCATTTGTCGTGTACTTTGGTAGATATTCTGTACAGTCTCTCAAAGGGGTAATATTTTAGGGTTGATGAAGAAGATATATATGGGATACACATTTGAATGTAAGCCGTGCTTAATGAAAATAAGAATTACAAAAGATATGTACTCTATTACGTATAAATAATACCTTTTTTTTTTCCTTTTTTTTTTTAGTCCACATCTTCCTTCTCTTTTACGCAATACGGATTTTTCTCGGATTGAGGGCGGGGAATCAAAGCTAGAGTTAAAAAAGCCACACCAGTACCTGGATGCGAACTAGTAATTATCATTAACTTTGGTTTATCTGGTTTTTAGGCAACGTGAGTTTTACACAGCATTAGCTCGCTCTGCCACCCCACTCCTTTATAAATAATATCTATACTGATTATTTATTATTAAGAAATATTATATAATGTAAATCAGCAGAGAATCCAAATATAAATCCCACTCTTCCTCACTGTAAAATTCAATATTATAAATAAAATTCGATCATTAAATGAACAACATAACGTGCATGTTACTTTTAGTGTTTACTCGAACAATTTGATAGTTGATAATTTTTTGAAGATCAGGTGCTAGGTTATAGTGGGCGACCATATCCTTGATTAAAACTACCAAGTACAAGTCAGATAAAACTGTTTTCAACTTTGAAATTTGGTGTGAAACCATTACACTATCCAAATGGTTAAATTACAGACATACTTAAAACGATTCGGATAACTTAAATAACACTGTTAAAAAATAAGTCTTACAGGAAAATACGTAATAAAAATTAAAAATCGGTACTTACATCTCAACTCTCTCAACTTTAATTCCCCAAGAGTCAGTAGCCTCGTCAAGTGAAGTCTGAAACAAACCAAAAAATTCCATTATCTCATATAAAAAAAAAATACTGCTTATATATATTTTATGTTTATAATTTTTTTGTCCCAAACTTAATTATTAATAAGCTAGACTTTAATTATTGGTTATTTTAATCAATAATTTTGTCTACTTTATTACTAGATCTTCATGATTATCACACATCATTATCATACAGTGTTTACTATTCACTCCAGTTAGTATTGGAGTTATATCCTACCCAGTCAATCAAAACCTACCTTATTGTTGGTCATAAACTACTGCTCTCATTTTTTCCCTGTATATTCATATGTACATATAACATTAATTATATCTTGGTCTAATTGACCAAATTTTTATTATTTTTTCTTTTTTTTAAATTTATTTATTACCAGATCGGCCTCGTGGGCCTTACATGGTTGTTGTAACAATTTGATGATTTTTAACAATTGTTCTGGTGGGGTATAGTCTTTGCAAAAGACACCCCTAACTATTTATACATTATAATTATTGAATAATTACAATTAATAAAGAGAAAATTATTAATTGTTCATAACATGATGTCTTGGATCAGTCTGGGCTTCAGTCTTCGAGATGAGGTTGGGTTTCCTAAGTTGTAGGCCACTGCACCTTTAACTGCTGGTAGCTGCGTATGGAATTTTTTAAATCTTTTTTTGATGAATTCATCTATTGTTTCCAATTTTAGTTCTCGATGTAGTTGAGCGTTTCTTATGAACCAGGGGGCATCTACTGCAATTCTTAATACCTTGTTTTGAAAGGATTGTAGTTTTTTTCTTTTCGTAGCTGAAGCGGCTCCCCAGACTTCACATCCGTACATTAGCAAGGGTCTTAGTATGGTTTTATGAATAAGAACAGTTGTCTCTGGTTTTAAACTAGATTTTCTATTTACTATGGGATATAACATTGCTAACCTTGCGTATGTTTGGGTCAGTTTATTATTTATATGGTAATTCCACGTAAGGCGGCGGTCCAGATAAACTCCGAGGTATTTTACTGCTTCACTAGCTGGGTTCCATTTTAGTTCTTTATTTTTGAGAATCAGTTCAGGTGGGTCTGAGGGACGTCTAAGAGTAAAAATTTTTGCTGTACATTTTTCGGTGTTGAGACAAATCATCCATTTTTTTAAATATTGTTCTAGATTTACTAGGTAAGACTGCAGTGTATTTCTGGCTATTAATATATCATTGTGTTGGGAAAAGACAGCTGTATCGTCGGCAAACATAGCTATGGAGGTGTTTGTGGATTGGATAATGTCGTGAACATAAAAGTTAAAAAGTATGGGAGAAAGAACAGAACCTTGTGGGGTGCCGGCATGGATTTGTCTTAAGGTTGAATTTATATTATTTATTCTAACTGTAAATGTTCTGCCGTTGAGGAATGAGCTCAGAACGTCATATAAATATTTGGGCGTGTCCACTTTCTTTAGCTTGTACAATAGACCACAATGCCAAACCTTATCAAACGCTTGTTGAAAGTCTAAAAACGTGACAAGAGTATGTTTTTTCATTTCAAATCCATTTACTATGAATTCTGATAATCTTGCCAATGACCAAATTTTTATTATCGTTAGGTAAACTCCAAACATTAGGCATTTAAAAAAAATACACTAATTTAACTATAAAATAAATACACTTTTTTTAATTAAATACATTAATAAAAAACGTAAAACAGTTTTTGGAACGCGTTAATTTCGGGAACTATCAATCTGGTTTAAAAAAACAATTTTTGCGTTAGATAAAAGTTTAGGTTTTCTAACATCGCACTACGATTAATAGAAATGAGGCAGTAACCCTTAACGGTCAAATAGTTTAAAGAACAGAGAAAGTTACTCTAGCACATTTTCACGTTGAGTTTTCGTTTCGATAAATAAGAATAAAGCACAGGAACAAACATTCAAGCACATTAGAGTTGCTTTAAGTGAAGACCCTTTCTTCGCCTACATGTTCCATAATCTAGATTGAACTGCTTTTCTCACAAGGAAAAGCATTAAAAAATATTTTAAACGGAAAGTTTTCATTAAATATTAGAACATGATTTGGAAAAAATCTAAACTTTTTTCATTTTTATGACTTTATAGATACTTTTTATTTACGAAGACGGCGTATTTTAATTAAAACATTAATATAAATTAGTAAAAAACTAATCAAGAGACAGAACATAAATGTTAGGTTGGAATTTAAAAAAAATCCAAACCAAATAGCCTTATGCCTACAAATTGCTGACAAAGAAAACATGACTAACAACGTTTCGCAAATACAGGCATCATCAGGACAGAAAACAACAGGTAACCAAACATCACTCCATGACATCCAAACGGATATTCTGAGTTTGATTATTGATTATTTGTATATTCAGTATGCGTAATTATGCCATGCTGTGATGTTTAATTAGCTGTTCATTTCTGTCCTGATGATACCTGAATTGGCGAAACGTTTTCATTCTTTCTTTGCCAGTATTTTGGAGACATAAGGCTGTCTGGTTTAGAATTTTCCTAAATTATAATTTAACATCTGATTAGTTTGTTTGTTTGTCTCTTGATTAGTTTGTTACTAATTTATATTAATGTTTTGATTAATATACACCATCGTCGTAAATAAAAAGTTTCTATAAAGCCATCAAATTGAAGATAGTTTCTGCCGCCTACGTTTTTATGGAATAGTTCATTTGTTTTTCCATTTAAATTTGAATGTTACAAAGTTGATCCGATTCACTCCGGCTCAAATACTCATCGTGTTTATGAAATGTATACATGTTTCAAATAATAGACGGATGAAACAAACCATGTTTTATTACTAATTGGCTGTGCATCGGGGTACAAATACTTGGTCATAAAATTTCATACTTCCTGTAATGTTAACTTCTATATTTTAATTTAAAATCAACTTTACACTGGATTAATATACATTTATTTAGAAATAGTTCAAAAGATACAATAGGAAACAGGCAAATATACTTAGGTTTTACATTAAGTTTTTTTAGAATAATACTATTCAAAAGTATAATCAACAAACAATAAAATAAATTTATAGAACAGTTCTAAAGGGCATTTTTCCTGAGTATATTGCCAAGCAATATTCACAGTACTTCGTCCGGACCGAAAAATCTAATTTTAGTTGATTTTTTTTAATAAAAAAAAGAGGATCTACAGACAGTGGTTCACCGATTTCAATCAAAATTATTTTGGTGATACCAAATCGCTAAATATTGGACACATGTCCCTCGGTTCGTCCCTAAAGGGCCCTAGAAGCCGAGAACAAAAATTATATAATTTCAAACAAAATTTATGTTCTTTATTTTTGCCCTAATTTTTCTTGGATGTTTAGGGCATTATATATATATATCAATTGATTTCTTTTTTTTTGTAGTTTAAGAAAAAAATAATGACTATTGTATGAAATAAGTTGTGATGTATCATAAAAAACAAAAACCAGAAGGGATTTTCTTTAAAGTAGGCCAAATAAATTTGTGTTATAATAAAAGCAAGTGAGATCTAAAAAAATTACAAAATTTAATACGTTTCTTAGAGGATTTTTTTTTTCAGGCTGATAGCTAAAGAATTCATAATTTCTCTGTATTTTCTCCAGATTCAGCTCTATTACGACTGCTATTATATACTGATGATTGTTGGTATATGGTCGGTAGTGAATTTCCAATCTACACTGATACCATTTATATTTTATACATTTTTGAATTATAAATTAAGAAAAAATTTCATATAATTTTATTTTATATCTTTGTTTCTAATTGGTTCATGGAGGTTGGTTTTGTACTATTTGGTGTAGCATATATATTTCTAAATTTCTAATAATTATTGTGTGGATCGGTGGAGCCGTTATTAAGTTATCACAAGTGTTGTGGTTGTTAACAAAATTTCGTAGTTACATAACCAAGTATTATATTTTGCATTTTTTTATAGAAATAAAAAACGCATTAAGAGTTTCAAAGGACACTAAACACGTATCTCACTTGCTTTGTTATAATAAAAAATTATATAGCATACTTTACTGGAAGTGCCTTTTAGTTTTTGTAATTTATGATACAACTCATTTAATACAATAGCCATTATTGTTTCCTTATTCTACACAACAAAAGAAATCGATTGCTATATAATAAACTAAAAATCCAAATAAAGCGAAGGCAAAAACAAATAATATACATTTTGTTTGAAATTATATAAAAGATAAGTACTGATTTTTTGAGCAAAGAGCTGTCCAGAATTTTAAGTTCGATAGCTTAAATTAATTAGTAAGATCCTGTAAATGGTTTGAATAAAAAATGGGCTCTAATCCCTGACAAATTGCTGTATACAAACTGTTTAATATACCCGTTAAATGCTAACGGTTTTTAACATAATAATATAATATAATGGTAATTCGACATTTTTTTAATTCAACAATTTCGAATTACTTAGGTAGATCACGTAAATGTTTTGACACAATTTGAGCTCAAGATATTGAAAAAAAAAATATATATTTTAAATATTCTTTCTTTTTTTTGTTAGTTTCATATTTATTCTTTCGTACATTATATTAATGATATGAACAGGAGTTGCAATCTGATAAAATGAAGAGTTAGAAAATGACAAAAGAGTTCGAGTCTCGGTACTGGGGGTTTTCAACCATTAATCCCTTGCTTTCTTCCCTGGCCCGGGGGAAAACCCCGTACACCGAGAAGTAATGGTGAAGAAAAAAAACAAAAGGTTGCTTTCATACTAGACCAAGTGAAAGTGGGTGGTGATAATACGCGAAATAATTATGATAACATCCAAAAGAATTTTGAGTTTTGCTCTAGGGAACCCGAGTGCTGCACGAAGTTCTAGAATTCAATTCTCAAAAATCTACCAAGGTGTTTAAGTAGATATGCAAGTTAATTCCCTTTGAACGTTTAGGGCTATCTATATTCTGTAGTCGAGTAAATTTTTAAATTATTATTATTTTTGAAATTCAACCAGTTCGTCGTGATGTCGATTTCCTCCTTAACCATCAAAGTTGTTTAAACTTCAATCATAT